AAAAAACATATTTTCCATTTTAGTCTATGAAAATAACGACTGGAATAACATCTCCAATCCTTGTATTGAGGGCGGACCAAAGTATCACTCCCACCCGACAGACCTTGCCAAGTTCATCACCTGTGGCGATACACAAAAGATGTACATTTCCCAATGTCCAACTGGCAAAATATACAGTAACCAAGGCTGTGTATCTGCCCACGTGACTACCTTCGGTAACCATAGTGTTGCCGGCGGAAGTCCGGTCGACGCAATGACTCGGTATCTAATCCTATGCAGAGTCGGTGGTAATATCCGAGAATGTCAGAGCGTAGACTTACCTGGTGACTTCTATGATAAACTCTGTGAAGGTATGTACCGAATGGATATGATCAGAACTTCTTACACTGTTCATTACTGACAGTTACGTCTCGTTTTCGAATGATAAAGTGATGTATAAATTCTAACTTTTTACGAAACAAATGGTTAATTAATGGCAAAAACAAACAATTCAACTGCATTTTTTTATTGATAGAATATTGTCTTTTTGGTGACTAGCTATATCTGTTATTCAGATAAGCCCTAAAAAATGGAAATATATAAATATTCATAGCATTGTTTATATATTCCTTGAGGAACGACGCTATCAGTACAAAATCATTGACAACTTTTATAAATATTCCTGGCATTGTTTATATCTTCCTTAAGGAACGACGTCATCAGTCCAAAATCCTTGTACTTCCTGTGCCATCGCTGACGGCCATCTTTTGCACCCGCATCCCCTGGACGACAACAAATACATCACTTGTGATGGCGGGAATAGTCACACCACCACACAGTGTCCGCCTGGGGAGAGATTTAGCGTGGCCAAACAAAGCTGCATCCCTTCAACCGACAACGGCGACAGTATCGAAGATGACAACGGTCAAAACGACGGAAATTCAAACCAGGAAGATGACGTAACCGGAAGTCCCCAAAATGATAATCCTTGCACACCGGAAGCCAGGGCACAGAACAAATATTACTTTCCGTATACACCAGATCGAACCAAATTCATCCAATGCGACGAGTGGGGGAATAAATTCATTATGCCATGTCCTGCTTCTACGATCTGGTCCGATACAGCCTTGACATGCGTAGTGGATGCTCTCGATGAGGCAAACCGTGGTACCTCCAGCAATCCATGTACCGGTAATGCGGGCAAGTTGGTGGCACACTCAGACCCTACAAAGTACATCCAGTGTGACGGAGCAGGCACTGCGCATGTCATGTCGTGCCCAGGAGGTCTCCGGTTTTACGCGTCCAAGTCTTCATGTGACTGGTGAAACTTTTTTCAAGACAAATCCGACGGAAAGATGAAAATATTTAATAAAATAAACATGAAATAATCGATTTGGTGTGAAAGCTTTCAGCGGATTTTAAGAATGTATCAATCAATAAATTTATTTTGTGTAAGGTATTTGCCTAGATGTGATCATGTGTTTTAATTTTAATTGGTAAAGATAAGATAAGCATACATTTAAAATTAACGTTTGGAACTAAATAGATCACTTTTAAATGTAAATTATATGACAATAATATCGAATGTCAATACGTGGAATTTGGCCTGTGATTTTACCTAGTTACAGTATACAGTTGGTAAGACTAAACAAGGGAAACAACTCGAGAATAAGTCATATTCCCCGACTACAGGAGCCAAAAGTTAAAACCTATCCTTCGCTATTGACGCCTCGTTTCATGGTAAAATCTATCAAAAGTATCAATGAAATCCAGAACCCTGCTATTATTATTTCATCATTCTGATCAATGCTGAACTTATTAGATTATCCTTTCTTATATACATAATAACAAAACTATAGTCGTTGTTGTAAATTTTAAATATTCGCGGTTAAAAAACCCTGTTTATCATCATTCTCTTGTTAAACAATTCAAAATAAAGTAAATTGAAAAGCATCATGCTTAGAGGGAAATAAGAATTTTATTGGAAATTGTCGTTGATTACGTTATCCTCGTTCTGATTAAGATATACACGATCAACCAAATCTTCCGATGAAAACAATTTTTATAGGTTTAAACGTTTGTTGTTCTTTTTATCTGACATTTTCAACACTGATAATTCCTGTTATTCCTGCGATAAGTATTTTTTCTTATATAATTCTGCTTTTTATCGCTTCCAGACATTTAAACAATAATAACAAAATGTATAAAAAAAATCCAAACATATAATATGTCTCTAATAATTTAACTTAAACAGTTAACTTTACGGTAAGCGCTTTTCTTAGTGTTTGTTGAATTATCGTTTTACTATTTTGGAATTCCGTCTCGGTGATGATGTAGTGTAGATATTCAAACCAAAGAAATCGTTTACAGGTCCTCGCCCCACTTCAAAAAAATACATGATATACATTGGATTGTTAACCCCGACATGGCTGTAATTCTGATAATTATAGAGAGACCCATAAATGTTGGAACCTATTTATGAATAAATTATAAAGGTGAAATAAAGAAGTAGAAATCAACAACGGTGCTCTCAGTGTAAGCATACAACCAGGTATCGAACCTGAAACAACCTGTTTTTATACTGTTCGCTCTTAACAACTGAACTACATTACGCTACAGTTATATCCGAAGTAAAATTGAGGGGAGTTACTATACGTAAAATCTACAGATGAATTACCTTGTGTCTTTACTACCATGGGATAAGGATCCCTAAAACTTATTTCATCATAATTTGATATTCCTATTGCATGTCACCTAGCCGTTTCAAACCGAGATCATGAACAAATATATGTATATTATGTAATATAATAATATCAATATAAATTGCTGTCAGCTTTTATACCAGTACAATGCTGTCTCGATAGCAATTGGTTGTCTATTATCATTCTTTTCGCTATTATAAAGCTTTTATTGTATCACTTTCATTTCTGTGTGTGTCATTGTGTGATACAATTTTATTAAAATTATACTGAAACATTAGTATTTCTAGTTTTTTATTTGTTGATAACTCGTCAATTGATCCTTATTTATCAGAACATTTTCACTCGGAATTTCAAATTGAATTTCTTCTACGACAATACTTAACGAGATTGACAATTTTTCCAACTAAATCATTCTAAATGGGGAAGGGAAGTTATTCTTATAATAGATAGTAATCATAATACTTTTCCCTTTGTCAAACGACTTCAAACAAAATGTGTTCAGAAGTAGATTTTCAGTAATACAGTGAAGTTTGATTTTGTATTTTAATTTAAACCATCTGCATTATATATGTATCTTATAATTCATGTTCGAAATATTTTCATTAATCGCAGAATAACACTCCGCTTAAACTTTGATGAAATCAGCAACATAACGACCTCATTTTCACCTTTGATATTTTATATCGTCACAAAGTTTCATTGAAAATTCAGTGGATGAGTTATATAAGTTTAAGGTTTTATCAAAAGAAGAATACTGATGGTGTGTTCTCACCAACAAAATAAACAACCGGAAGGGGGAGGGGGTCGTAGGCACGTTGTATTCTACTACATTGTATATCTCAGTCAAGAAATGTTGGGTTGCCTGCAGAATCGATGGTTAACCCCCTTGTTATCTACTAAGGGGACATTAAAGAACCCTAAATTGATATATTACCCCCACCACAACACTTGAAATATATATCCTTTCTTTTCCTAATGAAATTTATTTTTTCCGATGGTGTTTCCATGGTCACCTGTCTTCAGATGACTTAAGGTTTTGCGAGAAACAATAAAGAAAAAAATGTTAAAAGTCTTTTTCAATGTTGACATCTTAGGTCGTGACACTTTCTTTATTTGA